TTTGTTTTTGGGGTGGGGGTGGTGGCTCAGGAGCCCTTTGAGACTTTTAGCAGCTGAAGGTCTTCAATGCAAAAGGATAAACAGTACATCCAAAATTCTGTGTATACGCTTAAGAGATTCAGAGATTTATTGAATTATGTCTGGCTCCCCTAAATTTCTAGATTTAACAATATAAAGTTTTGACAGGATTTTTTAAAATATAGTAACATGTTCCAATAATCAAACTTAATTGCTAGTGTTAAATAATTTGTTGGTCTTTTCAAGTTGAAATTTATTTATTTATTTTTTTGTGGTACTAGGGATTGAACTCAGGACCTTGTACTTGCCAGGCAAGCACTTATTCCACTGAGCTATCTCCCCAGCCCCAGTTTATGTTATTGGTTTATGAAGTAGCTAAATGATTCCTGGAGACAGCGTAACTTTCATGGGTGAGTACCTTACAGATTACGTATGCTTGTTTGCAGCATGTTTATACTCAACAAGAAGTGCGGGAGCTGCTTGGCCGCTTGGATCTTGGAAACAGAACAAAAATGGGGCAGAAAGGATCCTCTGGGTTATTTCAAGCCGTCACAGCATGTGGTGTTGTAGGTAAGAAGTGTACTTCCTGTTGGCTACCTTTTTTTATAGAGAGTTTATAAGGTAATACAGCTTTATAGTTATGTCATCTCTGTCTTGTGTTGTTTAAAGCTCATTATCCACCAGTCAGTCATCAAACAGCATTGGTAAAGCATTGTGTGCTGAGTAAACACAGCTGAGTTTTATATAGGATCTGAACAAATACAGGAAATGTTTTGGACTTTTGACAAATCTGTTGTCTGGTTTGCTGTAGAATGAAAAATAAACTTACCCTATCCTTCATCGGCTGGATAACAGATATGGTAAAACTTGCTTTAATTATAATAGGACTTTCCTCTAAAGACAGGCTATAGCCATACCATGTTGTGTCCCCCTTCTTTGTATGATGACTGCCTTAATTCGCTGAGAAACTTTTCTTAAGATCACAGATCATCAGACACTGCTGTCTGAAATTGACTGAAGAAGATAAAACATCCCACCATACCTGGATGATCTGAGTCACTCGACAGAGAGAGGAGTGTTCGATGTGCAGTTCAGGTGTTGCGCCTCAGTTGCAGGTTTCTGGACAGTGCACTACACGGCTGTGCTGTTGTTCTCAAGGAAACAACACCCTGGGTCTGCTT